AAAACTAAAATGAACCGAAACTCACCCCATGTGCAGTGCAAAGCTAAGAATCAGGCAATAAGACATAATTATCAAGTTAACTCAATTCAATACCCTTTGGAGACCTCAAGGTTGTAGAGTGGATGCCTCATTACCCCATCCAAGCTTAACACTTTGTCAAAACATAAAACACCTCTTCTTTTCCTTCCTTGCTAGACTCACCTCCTGCTTCTTCATTAGAGAAATATAAGTGGGGTCTGAACACTGGAACTGTTTCTTCTGGCTACCATTAATTAAAAAGCCCAAGAGTAACAGGCAAGAGTAAATAGGGACATTGCAAAACAACTTTGGAGGAACACCATCAACTGCACAACTCCTAATAGCGACTGGTTCCCCTTTCTGACAGTCTTTGTAAACAACTCTGCTGTTGGCTTTGAAGACAATCCCAAGGGAGTAAGTAAACATTGCTAGAGAGCGCCGAATTTGGGATGAGGTTTATTTCCTAGGCTTGCCTTGATTTCCTGGTTTCAGACAAAGATGCTTCAGTGATGTTATGCTAGAGGTGGTCAATGAAACCTGTGGGTGATGCTTACACCCACAGATGTCTAAATCCTGAATGAAATGCAGTGGGGTCAGCAACCTGCCCAGACATCCTCTCAAATCAGCTGGCTCATCTAATCTCCACTTACATGCTTGAAAAACTCCCAGGACAATGGGAATTGCTCAAGCAGCGGTGCATAAGAGTGTAGGCAAGCACAGGGACAGCTGGTTGGAGATTGCCCTGACCCCCTCAGTAGCTTCCATTCTACCATTGAGGATCTGATTTGCAGCCTTAGGAAGGAGAAGGGCTAATTTTGTAAACGTTCACATTCCCATTACAATAGCTGTCACGAGGAAGGGCTAAATGCCATTTTCTGCTGCATCTGTTATAGCTTTAAAATCATCATAATAGCAGACCCACTGTGTGTCATTTTCTGTTATCATTGCTGGCTCGATAAGAAGGAAAAGTTGCAATGCCTCACAGCTTCATTTTCATCATACTTCTTATTTTCAGCTATATAATTGGGAAAAAAAACAGCCCATGAGATTCCTGCATTCTGGTGGCAGTTAAAAGGTTGCCATGCTGCGGTTCCCCTCAGCCTCATTGCTGTTTCCTGGTCTTCACTCAGCATATACTTCCAGACTGAAATTCACAGTCTATCTTGTCTAGACAACATAAGACTGGCCATACTGGGTCAGACCAAAGGTCCATCTAGTCCAGTGTCCTGTCTTCCGACAGTGGCCAATGCCAGGTGCCCCAGAAGGAATGAACAGAACATGTAATCATCAAGTGATCCATCCCCTGTTGCTCATTCCCAGCTTCTGGCAAACAAAGGCTAGCCTTCCTTGCCCGTTCTGGCTAATAGCCATTGATGGACCTATCCTCCATGAATTTATCTAGTTCTTTTTTGAACCCTGTTATAGTGTTGGCCTTCACAACATCCTCTGGCATAGAGTTCCACAGGTTGACTGTGCGTTGTGTGAAGAAATACTTCCTTTTGGGTGTTTTAAATCTGCTGCCTATTAATTTCCTTTGGTAATGCATTCCCGTCTTTAACTCCTTATAGTTGGAAAGTTTTTCCTAATATCTAACCAAATCTCTCTTGTTTCAGATTAAGCCAATTGCTTCTTGTCCTACCTTCAGTGAACATGGAGAACAATTGATCATTATCCTCTTTGTAACAGCACTTAACATAGTTGAAGTCTTCTTTTCTCAAAGACTCATCAGTCTTCCAGTGATCACAAAAGTGGTAGACCACATTTGCCCAGTGAACAAGAAGGAAACAAGAAATTAATATCTCAAGGTGTGGGACATTCCATAGTGGAACAGAGAAAAATCCTGTTATTTATTAGAAACATTTCATTTGCTTCTGATCTGCTAGATGAATAAGGGTGTTCATTCAATGCAGTGGTAAACTGGAAAACCCATTTAACAGAGGAAGATGAGAAAGCTTCCGTCAAGTAGCTTTTACATTTTTTCTTTTCTCCTGATTTTACTTGCCATTACATTTTCACTCTATGATGTAACTATGTTTCAGGTGGCACTGATCATGCTCCAAGAACATGACTCCTGAGTTACAAGGTGAATCACAAACTGAGTCCTTTGGGTCAAATAGTGCAATTAGCACTCTATCTCCTCAACCTCCCTTAATGGCAGGTGAACAAATTGTGCCCATACTCATGTAGCAATTTTGAGCGTTTTAGCAGTTTCTTTATTTCATGTGCTTATACGACACAGAAGAAAAATTGTCTTAACATCCATTGTTCAGTTCTGCTAACTAATGTGACAAAGTATTTAACTTCTTTGTTTAAAGTTCATCGGCAATATCAATATTTAATACCAGTATTTTCAAAATTAAATGAAAAAGAAGAATGAGTTCTTCCCCCTACTGTGTTGAATATTTTTTTCAAAATTATTGCCTGTTTCCTTGGAAATCCCCATCTTTACACTGAGCTTTATGTATTTGCACCCTGTCAACTTTAAAAAAAAACAAAACATTAAAATACCATATTTAGTTTTCTTCTCCACTATTCACAAAGCAAATTATTGTCATTTTATTATTCCAGAGACCAATGGCTCAGAAATGTTCATATACTCATTGTTCCACACTGTCATTTAAATTGCAATGGATTGTTGAAAAAGATATGCAAATCGTCTTATAATTTGCACTCTCATGACATGGCTGGGTGACGGATAAAAGCATCACTCTTGGGAATTAGTATATTGGTGTCCAAATACACATCTCAACAATGTCATCAATATCCTTGTTTATGGAGCTGTGCTATCATCTTTCATGGTAATGGCTGGCAGAAGCCTGTCATTATTCAATCTTTATTGTTCCATGCGAAGCTTGGCTATAAACAAAACAAACAGTCATGTGAAGACAAAATATTGAAAATATCTGAACCAGTTGCCCACCTGAAGCATTATCTGTGTGCTCCTGTGGTTTTGCTGGATGAAATGCCTTAGAATTTTCCCATCTTCCCCAATTTCCTTAAGGAACGTATCAGTGTAATAGCTGTTCACGGTTTTGCTTAAGTACTACATGCCAAACAATCTATCCTCATACGTAAAACTCTGAGCCAGATGTGTGCTATAGTAGTTATGTGAGGTCAGTTCATTTTCAGGAGAGTATCTTATTCATTAATTAATTATTGATATGCATTAGCATAGCACCTAGGAACCCCACTCATGGGCCAGCATCCCATTGTGCTAGGCACTGTACAAACGCACAGCATAAAGACAGTCCCTCCCTGTGGTTTCAGCACAGAATTGGGAACCAGGAAGTCCCCTCTTGGGAGCTCATCCTAGCTCTGTCACTAAGGGTTGGTCTACAGTGGGGAGGGATCGATCTAAGATACGCAACTTCAGCTACGTGAATAGCGTAGCTGAAGTCGAAGTATCTTAGATCGATTTACCTTGGATCCTCACGGCGCGGGATCGACGGCCGTGGCTCCCCTATCAACTCCGCTACCACCGTTCGCTCTGGTGGAGTTCAGGAGTCGACGGGGAGCGCGTTCAGGGATCGATATATTGCGTCTTAACGAGACGCGATATATCGATCCCCGATAAATTGATCACTACCCGCCGATACGGCAGGTAGTCTGGACGTACCCTTACTCCCTCTCTGACTTTCAGCAAGCTGCCTCTTAGACCTAATTATTCCAAAATGGCCAATGGTTTTAGGTGCTTAACTTGAGACCACATGGGCCTGATTCACACAAAAGTGCTGCATATCCAGCGTGTCTGCTGAAGTCATTAGGAGCTGCCGTTGCTCAGCACCTCTGAACGTCAGTCCCAAGGTGGCTCATGTTGGGCACCCAGAAATCAATGGTCACTTGTAAAAATGTCTCTTTTAACCTTTCTGTGCCTCGATTTCCGCACTGGTAGAATGGAACTAACTCTCACCTACCACACAGGCGTGGTGTAAATTAATCATTTTTTATAAACCACTTTAAAGCTGGAAAGTGTTAGGTGTTGTTGCTGCAGCACTTATTATTATGGTCTACCAACCTCGGGTACTTATGTGGCCCTCATTACACTAGCATTTGAGCACTTATTCCACACAATCCCCCATGTGAGGTAGAGAAGTGCTATCATCTGCAGGGGTAACAAGCACAGAGAGAAAGTCACTTGCCCAATCTCACACTGGAAACGTGTGACAGAGCAGGAAACTGAATCTCTGTCTCATGTGTTACGGGGTAGTGTCCCACCCTTTGGGCCATCCTTACTCACTAATTCAGCCGGTGACTAACAATTCTTGTGGTTTGCTAGCATGAGGCTCCTTCCTTTCACTTCACTTCCAGTTTGATCCCTTCATAGGCCAAGGAAGAAAGTGAGCTCCCAAGTCCAACATAACATTTAAAGCTACAGCCTCCCCCTCTCTCACACAAGTGCTTTTGTTGGAGTAAGAGCCTGGCAGAGAATGCTCTCATTGAGGAAGCATGAGATAGTCTGTTGCGGAGGGAAGGGGAGTTACGAGGCCAACACCTCCCATGGGCAGGGGGGAGGGCTGTAGGGAATCACGCCAAAAAGTGAGCATCACTGGCCAAGATGGGAGCATGGCCAGGGCAGACTGGGGATGCACAAATTCAGTACATCTCCTCCACCGGAGGTCATAAACTCCATGGAACTAGCCCTCGATGAACTCCTTGAAGGGGGCCGCAAGAGAGTCACTCAGATGTCAGGTGCTTGGAGTCAGTGGTGATGGGTGAGATACAAAGCCAAGAAAGATCCCCCCTGCACTACAAAAAGCTATGCTGGCACATACCCTGCTCAGCATGCGTGGATCTGGTGCCCCTATTTTAAGGACTCAAATGACTTCATTTCCCTGTCTTGCACTACATTGCTTGGTGACTAAACCGAATGCTCTTTTAGCTGGAATGACCACCATACTTCCCCCCGCCTTACTAAGCCTCTTCTGAAACACTTGGTCTTATTTTCTTTTAACCAGCAGCTTTGTTCTGTTTTTGCCTCTCAGATGAGATGGAGCAGTCCCCTGCAATGCATTCTGAATATCTGGTCTCAGGGATTAGAACTCCGCCTGTGAGAAGGAACAGCAAGCTGGCAACATTGGGCAGGATCTTCAAACCATGGAAGTGGAGGAAAAAGAAAAACGAGAAACTAAAGCAAACATCAGCAGGTATGGGAAGAGCAACAGCTTGATTCAGTGCAAGGCAAAGTCCACCCTGTGAAGAAAAATGAGCAGAGGTTGCTGAAGTAGGGCAGGTTATTGATAAGCTGTTTCTAAGTGTAAGAATCTGGCCTGTCATAGATTCAGACATTTTAAGGTCAGAAGGAACCATTATGATTTGACCTCTTGGCCACAGGATTTCTACCAATCCAGTCAGCAAAGAGCAAAATCCCAAACTTGATTTATCAGGCTGTCCACCGTCTCACCGCCCCGCTTCTGCCCTTCACTGATCTTTGTAAGGGACGAAGATGCCGCAGCATGAGCAGGGGCTGCTAATTTAAAGGCCGGACCGTGATACCTTACGTTGAATAGTACCTTCGATATTGAAGTCAGAGGACCACTCGTGGAGTTAGGTGCTACTGAAAATGAGTGAGGGTATCAAACTCTGGCCCTTCTGGTAAAGCCAAGTGCAGAAGGGATTTCATTACTATTCCTTCCAATCTACCTAAAATCCCCAGAAAGGCTAAGAGAGTACTTGGAATTAGCCCCTCGTCAGATGTGTCTCAAAGTAATTACCATGGGCTTTTAGTGGCCTTTGTGAAATAAGTCAGTCAATGGTATCAATCCAGGTCCACAACTTCATAACTGATCCCGGTGTTGGCACTTAGCAGAGAGGTGATGGACTAACATGAGCTCAAGTACTTCCAAGAGATACATGCTCCAGCTCAGGGTTAATGCACATCAGAGGGACAGTGTGAGGAAGCTTACACTGCGACGGCTCTGTGGCTATATGGTGGTACTAATCTGGCCCCTTGCATTCAGAATTCAATAATAAAAACAAGAACACTAGGTTAAATACTGAGAAAAATGGATTACTCAGATAAATTACTTAAAAAATATTAAAACGCATTAAATAATGACTCTGAGTAATAGTATATGACCAGCCCTTCTTCCTATAGCTTAGTGACATCTCCCAAAGTTTGCATCTAAATGGTAGCCATACACCACATAATTGAGGTGTCTGGTTGCTTGTGGTGATTTTTTCAATTTTCTAAACATGGATTTTTGTACATGTATATTGTATTTAAAAACTTATTTTTAAATTATTGTTTTTGGGCAGGGAATTTATCAGGAAGTCTAAACATAGCATATTATTCAACTGTATTAGTCACCAGTGACAGATATAATGGAAAATGGATGTTATGATCAGAAAGAGAAAACACAGTTTTCCTGTTTCAGCCAAAGCAAAAACACCAAGATCATCTTTTGACCCAGACACCTTTAGTTTATTTCCAACAGGGCATAGAAATGAATCCTAGCAATTCTTGATACAACTAATTCAGTAAGTTCAGTGGCAGGCAAACTACAACTGGGTGTCTTCTCTGTAACGTGCAAACTTAAATGAAGTTTGCAGTCATCATTTCACTCCTTGGAGACTTTCTGTGCATGAGAACAGTTGCTAGAAACACGACTCCATGTATTGTTCTACCTTTTTTGGGGGGGAGATGGGGGATCACGCTGACATTATGGAAAACGACAAGAGGGAGCTACTCTGACTGGTAGGGCTCGACTCTTAACCAAAACACTCTACAGAATGTAAACATTCCTTCCTGAAAACGTCAGCCACCGTGTTAAAAATATGCCCAACAGACCACAGTGTGAGGGAGAGTGTCTACTCTTTCAAATCTCTGAAGACATCCGCAGGGTACAGCACTCAGAAACAAGAGTCACTTGTCTTTTCCTGAGATTCTAAGGAGTGACTCCTTGTACCTGTGCGTGGGCTGATGCAAACTGGCTGGGCACATGGGTGCTCTGTGGGGATCATGTGAGAAGGAACACACTCTGCAAGGCTGCTCCATATTTGCTACTGCACCATCGAGAGTATAGTACCTACCACATGTTGTGCATCCCCGCTCCTTGGTAGGAATGACTGCTGCATCTTGTTAGCCTTGAATCCATTTGCCAGCCTTTGACTCATCCCCTGAAATAGCTTTCTACTCTAAAACACAGGGAGCCTCTTCTCTGGGGAGTCGGGAGCATAAATCCCTGGTGTGAAATGTTGCACACTCCCTGTGTGGACTCCCAGCATCCCTCTTCCCAAACTGTGTACTCAGAACCATTCCAGTTCCATTGCATGAGGGCTCTTCTTTTTCTGCCAAAGAGCATGAGTGCAGGACTTGCCCCTGACCATGGAAGCTAAAGTGTTATCAGGAGAGAGAACACAGTTATATTGCCACCATTCTCAACACCATGCAGCTGCATTTCTCTGATAAATCTAGAAAAGGAAACACTGAGTTAAATCAGATCCACTCCTCTCTTAAACTTGGCAAATTCCTCTGATCCATAGAAGGGGCTGATTCACAGAATGGAAGGTAGTTAGAGATATAGGAAAATGGAAGAGAGAGATTGGAAGCCCCCTTTTTTCATTCTGTGAATGGAATTAGCTGGTGATTTACTAGACAAATTCCTAAGCAAGGAGGGCGCATAAAGGCCTCCGCCTTGTGGATGAAGATCAGTCAGGTGCAATAATATAGTCAACAAATAATACAAAATACATGGTTCAAGAGAGGCACACAATGGTTAGTGGGCAAGAAAGCTTGGTGGGGATGGTTTCATTGTCTTGCCCCTGCAAATCAGTCACACACATTAACTTTTTTTTCCCCTACTGCTTTGTACAGGGAGGTCTGAACCCAAACCAGGACCTGAACATCTCCCAAATTTGGGGAAAGTTTAGACTGAAAACCAGACAGCTGGCACCTACGTGTAATGAGTCCAATCAAAGACCCGGTCTGCAACACTCTTGGACTTTGGATCTGAACATGATTGTTCAAACCCCTTTTGGAAGCTTTGATCTTTTCAGCATCCTGCCCCTTGGCTAGCAATATTACCACTGCTCTAGCAATGAAAACACACTGAACTGGCCAGCTGGTCACAAACCACACTTGCCCCTAAAACTCCAACTGTGTAGTCCTCCTCTGGTCAGCTCACTACATGTGGGACTAGAGAGCACCCACCTGTTGCAGCTTTCATATTGAGTTGTCTTGTGTGTCTACTTCCATCCATTGTTTGCTCTGATTTTCTATGTTATGCTATCACTTTCTGCAGTGTTAGAGAAGAAGATTACTGCAAGGCCAGGTCGGGATGAACTCATTAAGAAAGGTCTTCTGGAGATGATGGAACAAGGCAAGTAAACCCCGTCTTCATTTTTTATTGTTGTCCTTTACATGAGGGCTGGACACATGTGATGGCAAGAAATGATAAGAACCCACAGTCAGAAAAAAAACAGTGACCAGTTTGAACAGTCATTGGATCAGTTTCATACCTGGTGTCACTCAACATATCCAGTGTGGTTTATGGTGTAACTCCATCTTAAGTGGCATTCCACTGTCATGGGATTTACACAAGAAATGAATTCAACCATATTTTGTGCAATTGCCATAAGCCCTTCTGCTCAGATTGCCAAGAAACTCAGTAAAGCTTATATGAATATGAACTCAGCTATACAGAAGTATTCAGTAATGAAGCTAGCAAGTACAATCCGTGAATTCAGATCTCAGAGTGATATTAATCCATATTTTCTGCTGTCTTTCTGGTAAACCAAGTTTAGTACAAGGTGTATTCTAATTATATAAGTTCTTCATTCCTACAGAGGAATGAGACATTTAGTACTGTTATTTTTACAAGCTTACGTGAATACAAAACAAGTGTGAAGCAATGATTAAATGCAAGATAACTTGCCATAGATATGCAGGAACGTTTGTAATTCTGTATGTTGCTCGTCTAAGGCCCCCAAACAGATGCTTCTAAATGAACAAAAGACCTGTTCCTGAGAGAGTTTAGCATTCTACCAAGTTTGGTGTGTTCCCAGCATCAGGACCCAACTTCTGACAGCCATTTTTTTTCTAAAGATAGCTTAAAAAAAAAAAGGGCCTTTCCCCCTTGAGGCTGAGAACTTTGTAACAGATGGTGTTATGAGGGAAGAGGGGCCGGCTGAGTCAGTCCAATTGGAGAGGTGGAATATTTTATTGAAACTAATAGGAGCAATAATTATATTGCCTCGTTTAAAACAAAATTCCAAATCTATAAATAACTCTCCTAATGACACTTGATGAGGCTGTGATGGAGAGTAACTGAACAGAAAGTGAGCATTTTAAACAGAGACACCTGTCATAACTGCAGAAAAGCTATATGTATGATTCTTAAGTACAGGCTATAAACCTACATGGCCAACTTACTTTAAAATTGAAGTTTTTTCATAATTTTGGCTGTTTAATATGAGGAGTTTTTCATTGAACTCTTGTTCTTTATTCTAGACCAAGATTTGGTCTGGTAGCATATTGGTACTACTAGATAGATAAATCTAAGTCTGAGGGCTTCTCTACATGGTGGGGCAATGTGCTTTACGGGGCTCTGATTTCTAAAGTACATTAACATATTGCACGTTAATTGTTCCGTGTAGACTCCACAGGTGTGCACGAAAGGTTCCCTAGGGCTCTTTCAGGGAGTACTGAGCACTTTCATATAGTTCGTTAAAGTGCAGCAGCAGGATTTACACTGACCAATTAATGTGCAACACATTAGTGCGCTTTCAAAATTACACCTATGCAGTGCATTACCCCACCGCATAGCCAAGCCCTGAGAAATCTACTAGGGGTGTGTGTATGTATGTGTGTACACTCACACACGTATGTGTGTATGTATATCTAGTAGATTTCTCAGGGCTTGTCTCCATGGTTTTCAGTGATCTCTGAATTTGAAGACACGGGAAGTTATGGGTTTTTAAGAGAGCAGTACAGACAAGTGATATAGAGCACATCAAAGTCAATAGCAGTAGGATCGGATCAGCTTTTCACTTCACTAAGACCTGGTTGAATGGGGGCTATGTATTAAAATCATTTTAGCAAAAAGCAGATAAGCCTAGTTTAATAAACACTGCCCAAACGGGAATGGGGTTTTTAAAGGTCAGTTGGAAATGGACTGGCTGGGTATTTCCCCCCCCTACACACACACACTCCCTCCCCCCCCCTCTTATGTTTTTAATTTCTCTGTGTTACAGTTACATGGAGCCTATAAAACCATCAGGCAAATTTACAATGCCACACAATTGTCTAGACGGGAGAGTGTGAGTTATGGGCAACCAAAGGGCAATACAATATGCTCCATGTTATTTCCTTCCAACACAATGGATGTTTTGAATCTCAGAGGCTATTTTATGGCTTTATTAACATATGCAGTTTATTAACTGCTCTTAAAAATTGCCCAGAATCTTTTTTAATACCCGATGAGAAGCCTACTCAGACGACGATAATGCTGTGGCAGTTGCATTCTAATCTTTTCAGATTCAATCCTTTTTTTAATGGACACTCACTGCAATCAACTGCAATTGTCAGAGCGGCAGCATTGTGCTAAGCACACCACAGTAAATCTCTAAATCCCGGGTTTCACTCTGGGACTCTGCTCTCCTGCTGAACATCTGGGGAGGGATTCACAAAGGTATTTGCGTACCATCCCGGTACCTGCTCACATCAGTAAAGTAATCCAAACAGTGAGAGATGGAGATCAAGTCTGAGAAACCTGCCAACCTGCCCTCACATCTTTCCCGCAGCAGCGACACACTCCATCGGTACAGCGTGCCCCTCTGCTAAGTCACATACTGCACTACACCAGGCTGCAGAAACCGTGCAGCATCCCTAGCAGGGCCGTTCGGCCCAGCTCTGGGTAAGGTCTGGAGCAGGAGCTGCTTCAACTCAAGAGCAGCCCAGGGAGGAACTATCCATCAGAGCAGTTCCTCTCCTGTGCCTGCCTCGCTTTGCGGACGGGTGGTAAGTTACCACCCGCCTTCTCAAAGGGCAGTTTACTCTCCTCCTACTTCTGGCCACAGCCAAGGCCCACTTATGCTTAGAGGGGAATAGCCAGCAAGGAACCCCTGCTCACCCCATCCCATGGCTGGTGCCACAATGTGCGCAGCCTCACTCCCCTTTCCTCCCCGGCGTGGCTGAGTACGGGCTAGGGACAGTGTAGCCCATGTTGACACCAGTGGGCACTACTGGAAATGATGCAGCGGCTTTCATTAACCATGGGTTGCTGTCTCCTGTTAACTCTGCCTGACCTGTGCCACTTCTGAGGCTTTCCTTCATCACTGGGAGATGCACATGCACTCCAGGGCTTCTAGAGGGCAGGAGCAAGTTAATGATAAGGTTTGTTCCTTGACTGCATTGCTCTGTAGTGGGCTGATTACTCCAGCATGGAAGAGCATTGCTTCTTCCTGAGATCATTTTCCGTGGCGTTCTGACGGTGTAGATTCTCTTGTGTTTCCTCACCTGTGGGTATAAAGTTACCCTCTTCCCCCACCCTCGCTCAAAAATCTATGGGGTCAATATCACCCCTGCAAATCGATGCACTTCCTTCCAGCTCCGGCCACATCTCTACAGTGCTCTGAGCAGGGGCGGCTCTATGTTTTTTGCCGCCCCAAGCACGGCAGGCAGGCGGCTTTCGGTGGCGTGCCTGCGGGCGATCCGTTGGTAACGCGAATTCGGCGGCTTGCCTGCAGGAGGTCCGCTGGTGCCGCACCATCGGCGTCCCCACCACCGAATTGCCGCCGAAGCCGCGGGACTGGCAGACCTCCCGCAGGCATGCCGCTGAAAGTGGCCTGCCTGCCACCCTCACAGCGACCGGCAGGCCGCCCCCTGCGACTTGCCGACCCAGGCACGCGCTTGGTGCGCTGGTGCCTGGAGCCGCCCCTGGCTCTGAGGATGTGGTGTCCACCTCTGACCAGGGACCTCATAGTTCTCAGTCCTAGACACTCCTCATTAGAAGGTCATTGAGAGGGCTGGCTTCTGCTTATTTCATGAGTCGTTACAGTTTTCTTAGGCAGTGATTTAAAGGAGCTAACGTTCTGTCTTGGTATCTTTATTGTTGTGGCGCAGCATTTGGTGGCTTGCCAAAGCAGCAGCTATCTCTTGGAGAACACAGGGCACTTACAAAGCAGAGCCGCCCATTCTGCTCCTGGGAAACATTTATGGAGTTTTTCCCCTTTTAGCTGTGAAGCGTAGATTTGATCAAATGTAAAATGTTTTATAGCCCTGGAAGAAAAGCTCTGTCTTACAAATAGTGCAGACAGCTGTTAATATGCCAGTGATTATGTATAGGCTGGCTTCACGATCAGCTGAAACATAGGCAATGAACTTTTCCCCCCCTTTCCTTGTATCATAGCAACTGTGCTACTGCAGGGGCTATTTTAAGAACAGTAACTTTTCACCAAACGTGATTATGAGGCAGATTGGATGAGCTCAGCCTATAAAAATATTGCATTAGCTCTGCAGCATTTGCAGGCTGACTTCTGATACCCTCACTCAAATGAGCAGTAACAGACTCTGCAAATGGTCTCCATATTAAAAAATAAAAAGTGGTCTGTGAACGTTTAACTCCTTTAAATCACTGTTTAAGAAACTTGTAATGAAATCATTACAAAGGAGAAGACAGCCTTGTCATCCACTTCTAATGAGGAGCGTCTAGGACTGAGAAATATAAGTTATTTGGTCAGAGGTGGACCGTGTACACACACATCATTGGAGAGAGCTGGCTCAAACTGGGAGTAATTGGTTGATTTTGCAATGGTGGTGTTGAGCCTGTAATTGCTGAGAGAGGATCAGGGAAGTGAGAGACAGCATAGTTTGTATTCCCACTGAGGAATGTTCCCTGGGTTGGAAAATACTTAAGAAGCTAAAAAGGTGTCAGAATGCTTACAGCTGATGGGATTATTGGCATCACTCCTCAGTTGGAGAGTATCAGAATCTGGCCCTATGTCAAGAGAGGTTTGGATTTCAGTTGTGCCCCAACATTTGGAAAGTTGGGTGTCTAAAATGGAGCCCCTAAATGCACACTGAGGCACCCAAATATCAGTGGCCTGATCTTCAGAGGTGCTGAGCACCTACAAGGCCTGCTGATGTCAGTGGGAGCTGCAGGCACTCAGCACCTCTGAAAATGACAGATGCTGCCAAAGTGAGCTCTTGCAAGGAACGCTGCAGGATAAGTGATAGGCTATCTGTGCATACGCTAATGAATGAGAATGGCAGGATGTTTTCACTTTTGCAACTGATGACTTAATTAAGATTAAGTGATGTGGTGTTTTAGATGCTGGAGGCAAAGCATGCGCTGCTGATGGTGCCACCAGATCAATGCAGAGTGACCCTTCATCCCCCGTATGCCAGGCACTTACCTCAGAAGAGATGCAGCAGGAAAGTACAGCAGCAACAACAAATGCAACCTCATTTAGCGAGGAGCTGCACTCAGAGGAGCTGAAAGACGATGCAGGTATTGGATAGAACAGGGGTCAGCAACCTTTCAGCAGTGGGGTGCCGAGTCTTCATTTATTCACTCTAATTTAAGATTTCGCGTGCCAGTCATACATTTGAACGTTTTTAGAAGGTCTCTTTCTATAAGTCTATAATATATAACTAAACTATTGTTGTATGTAAAGTAAATAAGGTTTTTAAAATGTTTAAGAAGCTTCATTTAAAATTAAATTAAAATGCAGAGCCCCCCAGACCGGTGACCAGGAACCGGGCAGTGTGAGTGCCACTGAAAATCAGCTCGCGTGCCGCCTTCGGCACACGTGCCATATGTTACCTACCCCTGGGATAGAACATGCTAAAGTGCTTCTATTGAGCTGCCATGCGATGAGTCCAGTGAATTGATGCATCAGAGAGCCAGAGCACCGTGTTTAGTTCAGTCCCCTCCAGACCAGGTTAGCAATCAATCAGTCCTGTAAGAATAGTGATTTTTGAGACCTCCATTTTAGTGAAGGACACACAAGCCAGGAGTATTGGGAAGAGCTGCACACATAAGAGAACAGGAGTACTTGTGGCACCTAAGAGACTAACAAATTTATTAGAGCATAAGCTTTCGTGGACTACAGCATCCGAAGAAGTGGGCTGTAGTCCACGAAAGCTTATGCTCTAA